AACTAAACATATTCATTATTTTCTCCCCAATATTTTAGGTTAATAACTTTAGGAGAACGAATCTATAAAGTTTTAAAGAACTTGAACAGGTGCTCAAGATAAACGAGCCTTGCGCTGTCCAACCGGGAAAAAACTAAATCCCATGAAAATCCGACGAATGCACTTGGGCGGTGGAGGCACGCACACCATTCGAATTAATCCGAGTTAGAATCGGCGAGCTTCAAGATTTGGTTTTTCTATGTTTGCTAAATGTTGCCTAAATAGGGACTGGTTTACCTACTAAAACGGACTGGCTGTGAGACCAAGATGCAGTACTTGCGTCTGGGTGCATCTCAAAAACTCCTCTTTGATGAAGATTGTTATCCGACCGAATGACCCACTTGATCTTCTTTCTTGATCACTAAACTTATCAGAACCAAGACGTCACGCGAAATTTTAATGCACAATTTCTCAGCTGAACTGACTTTCCCGTCTAGAAATTATTTAAGAAAGCCCAATTTTCAGTGAACAGCACGCTTCCATGTCTTTCACTCGTTTACAGGCGGCTCCACAACTTCAGCGTCCAAGTGAGTCACCGTTTATTCTCAGAAAACTCGGGCTATGCTTCCTTCCCCTAAAATGTCAGTCTAAGTTCCCGCAGGCCCGATCCGCTGATGAGAACCCAAGCGATTTTGTTGTGCTCCCCGACTAGCTTATTGGCTGCTATCGGAACTTACTGTTTAAACAGGGTTGATGCTAGATTTTTCTTTGTTCCATTGAACTGCCGCCATCGCATCCCTCGTGTTTTTGCCCTACGCATCCGCTAGTGCAAAGTCAAGTGAAAGAAGCCACGTAGCTGGTTGGGTTAATGAGTATTCGGCTTTCACAGCGCTGTCAAGGATGAGCAGGGTGGAGGTCTCATTAGTGCTGTCTCTCTGTTTACGGGGTGAGCGTGGTATAGGCGGAAAAATAAAAAAACAAAGCACGGTTTCGTAAAAAAAAAAATTGTTTTGGGGGATCAAGGCGCGGAGGAGTGGGGAGGGAAGAAGGAGGGTACAGGAGGGTGTGTGTGTGTGGGGGGGGGGGGGGGGGGGGGGAGGGCGAGGAAAAGAGCGGACGTAAGCACCATGGTCACTCTGTCCACGGTCCCACTCGACGCGAACCCCACGTCACGGGTTTATGGTCCATCCGTTTTCTGCTCTTTTGTAAGCTCGGAGCAGTCCGTTCGTTTTCCAAGAAGTCGAAGCCTGTTGCCTTTCTGTAGAGTGTCGAAGCCTCCCAGCCTGGCTGGCCGTACGAACCAGTCGAGGAACGGTCTCTGGCTGGGCTGTCGTGCTTTCCGGCAATTCCTTTTCCTTACTAGCACCTCACGAGAGTCTCGTGCTACCATGCCCAAAAGCGCGAAGGCCGTTGCATCGCCCTTCTTCCACTCTGTTTCTCCCTTTGACGGGACGGAAGAATTGTAACGAGTAATTTCAGTAATTCGTTACTTAAAAAAGTAATGAGATTACATTTCAAATTACATTTTCAAAAAAGTAACGGATTAATGACTAAATTACAAGAAAAGTAATTAATTACAAGTAATCCCGTTACTTGTAACGGATTACTTCCAAGTCTGCCACCGACGCCGGCGCTTGACAGACGGTAATATTTGCTACTGGAGAAGAATCTTTATAATTGGTGTTCTGTGAAGCGTTTCAATATTTTCCACGACTATGGTAAGGAATATGATCGATCAGCATCTTGCAGCATATTATCTTTAAGTGCAGTGTTTCAGGTTGTAATAAAAATATTTCCAGGTAAATATGATACGCACCATAATTTTCAATTTAGAGAAGTGTACACATTTATCTTAGAGCTCTCTTCTACTACAGCCATCAGTCTAGAATAGTTGAATGTATTAAATTTATAACAAATCAATTAATGAAATAAAATTACCGATGCTGAGGATGTATATTTACCATGTGTTGAATGTACGCTAGGAATTTGTTGGTAGCTCTTGTTTTGATTTAATAGCTGTTAGTGTCTTTTTTTTTTGTGCTGTTTGAATGTGTTGTTCTTTTTTTTTTTGTGTGTGTGTATTTGTTGCTGCCGCTGCCATTAATTGTAGGCCGACAACTTGTCAATCGGCACGAAGCAGCTTTTTTCCTCAGTCTCCTTCCATCATATTTTGATGGTAAATAAAAACGGATTATTATAATAAAGACGTACGGTTCCTGCATTGCTAAGACCATCCGAGTTACCACCACCCCACCTTTAAAAAAACAAAAAAAAAAACAAAAAAAAACTATGTTCCCAAAATGTAGAAGGTTGTAGTTGTGGCTTTCTAATACTTGAACAATTCTGTACCTACTCTAGACTAGACCAATTAACCGATCAAATAACCGACTAAAGATAAAGTATAAACAGCATGTAAGCGATTTGGCGAGTGACGAGACAAGCGACGACGTCTTGCTTCGCTGTTGCTCGGTCAGTTGCGCTACGAGGCGAACCGCATGAAAGCGACTGGAGCAAGCGACCAAAGCGATGAGTGACGTTTTCTAGAAATCCGAAAACCGGCGACGCGACGAGCGACAGTGAAAAATCTCCGTCGCTCGTCTCGCTGCTCGATAAATCGCTTACAATGACATCTATTTTTTCTTTTCATGTTGGTATAATCTAACATATCAATATTAAGTTCGCCCTTAATTGATGCGTCGGTTATATATCCTTAAACTGTGCACATAGGGTGACCACCTTTTCGATAGCGGAATGCGGGACACGTTGACCTAGAGGGGGGGGGGGGGGGGGGGGTAAGAGAAGAACGGCTATATATTTCGGTTGTGGCAACTGCAAAAAAGAACTTAGTGCGCAGTCGGGCTGATGGAAGTTTACCGTGCTGCCTTTTAACCCGAGACTGGGACAGGTGGAGGAAAATTGTTTTCCTGCCTTCTGCCCCAGTCTCAGGTAAAAAAAAAAAACATAAAGGAAAAAAATAACTATTCGAGGAAATTTATCAACACATGCCACAAAATGCGGCTCTGCCTGTCTTGTTTTAAGCTCAAATAATTGTCACTACAGGTGACATTATCTGAGTTGAACACATAAAATCGACTGCAACATAACTCAATGCGTCAAAAGGATAGAAGAAGCAGTAAATCTTTTATGGCTTCTCGTTTCCTTTCGATTCGTATTTTTACCAACATGCTCCTACACAAAGTTCGAATTTTACGTTGTTGTTTTTGATCGTTGTGAGTTGCAGTGTTCTTGCCTTGTTGATCGTCTTTACTTAAAAAAAAAAAAAAAGTTTTTCGCAGCTACCTTTTTGCATTGACGCAGCACGATTTGAAAATAATTAAAATAATGTATTTTCAACTTTTGGTGAGCCATTGTCCGTTGCAATATTTTGCCACCAAGGGAAGAGAGGCACGAAAGCGCATGCGCGACAGATCCCCTGCAAGAACGACGGTCGCTTCCCACGATGCGTGGATAGAAAATGGTGTATCATCGCGATTCACACATTCACCAGCGATCTGTGCGCTAAATTCTCTGTGCCCCGTTGTTCGGCAGCGCCATAAGCTGTGTTGTGAGTTTTACGACAATGTGAAATGCGGGACATTTCGAAGATTTGGGAATTTCTTGCGGGACGCGGGACACGAGCCCTCAATGCGGGACAGTCCCGCGAGTCGCGGGACGGGTGGTCACCCCATGTGCACATCCCTATTAAATGGCATTTTGTTACTGACAAGCTGATGTGACAAAATAAGTTGTACAAATTTAATCGGAGGGTTCAACAAACCATGAATTCTGCCGAACTCAACTTCAAACCATTGAACCAATTACGATATGACGTTTTATGTTCGTTCGCGTGCGAACATCGCTTTCTTTCTTTCTTTTTAAATTTAGGATACGCTTCTAACATATATGTACAAAATTATACTCTGTAGTATTCCCTGCCGGACCATAAGCGTTATGCATATTTTTCCCCCTTTTTTTTAATGAAAGCTTGAACGAGGGTTTTAGAAAATCTCTCTCTAGATTTAGTTTCTCCCCTACTCAGAATCCATCCAGTTTAGAAATAGCTTTCTGCCCCACGCGTGATTTTAGTAGAACTCAAATATTCCCGCCACCGAGAATCACAGCGGCCGTCAGGTAATCTCAAAGTTGGTATGAGTCGCCATCTGGTTTCCAGTGGCTAAACCATTCGCTTCGCAACGGCGAGAGCACCGTGGGCAAGAGCGCGTGCCCCCGACTGCTGCCTCCTTCCGTTGATTCAAAAGCAAAATAAGCGCTGCGTCATTTAGCCATGACACGATGACTTTCTTTGAAGCGTTTATGTCAGCGTTGATTTTTGCTATTCGATACGAAGCGACCCTAGCGTAGAGGTCGTCGCAACTGGAGCGGCAGGTGGTGGTATTCACAATTAGACGACCGTCCCCCCAAACTGAAAAAAAGCGGGAATCCTCGGGGTCACCCCCGAGGGTTAGTTTAGAGTTTAAAACAGTAGGAAAGTTGATCCAAAGTGAGCTGTAATCGCTGTGTTGTGGAAATAATAGCAAAGAAGGCAAACTGCAGGCGGGACATTGCCGTGCAGCCATTTTGCCAACGGCTATTTGGTGCGTTAGTTAGTTGTCACCGTGCTGGGTGCTACACGTGTGCATGACGAATGACCGCCGTTTTAACCGCGAAGAGTGAGCAGAGCTGTCTGTACTGTTAGGCTTTCCCTTTCCACCCTATTCCTAGGTGTGCCTTCTGGCTTTCCGCTGGCGTTCTTTTTCTTTTCTTTCTTGTATGTATTATTATCTGTTCCTTTTTATCTATCTACAAAAGATTTAAGTAAATATTAGCCGTGCTGTCCCGAACAGCATTTCTCCGGCATCCAGTGCAAAGCGACCAGTTCCTCGAACAGGTCGGTTAGTTCGCTCCGGGGCGAGGCTTGCTGCCGTCCGTGGTAGACACCGCAAAGTTCCGGCGTCCCAGCAGCATCGGTTGGGAAGGTAATTTCACCAGAGGAGACGCCCCCGTTGCAAGTCAGAGGGGAAATGACGTTTGCGTTGCTCCTTTTGGTTGGTCTGCTACTAGCACACGGCGTTACAGGAGGTGAGTCCATTACTGTGCCTTTCTTGCCCCAGTATTGTTGTTTGTGGTTAAGGTCAATTTATTTCGAAAGGAAATTCACACTGAGCCTTTGCGTTACGCCGGTTTTGCAAAAAAAGAAAAAAAAATGTTTTCTGAAGCTTGATTTACAGTGTGCTATTCCGCTGGTGATTTCACAGCTGCAACTTCAGGCACTGTAGCTCCCCCCACCATACATTTTTCGGCTGCACGAGTTATAGCGCGACCACGTGAATTAGTCATTACTCCGACTACGCGCGATAGTATGCGGGTGAACTTGGGATTTTGTGGACGTTGTTTTTCTCCTAAACTTTTATTTCGCTTCGCCCAAGTTCAATCATAGTGTTGACATTCTTACTGAAACAATAGTTCCATTCATTTAGTTGCCAAAAGTTTTTTTTTAGCGTGTCATGGACACCGCTTAGATTTTCAGGGTCGAGTGGTCTTGCGACTTGAGTCAATGAGAATGAATGAACTGTTTGTTTCAGTGACCGATTACCTGGACCACATGAACGACAAGATCGAGTCCGCGATGAACATGGTACGCGCCTTCTTCGTCATCTTCCTGGGCGCCTTCACCATCAACGTGTGCGCCGTCGTCTTCGTCGTGTTCGGCGACGGCAGAGCGCGCAAGGTCCTGTTCCCTCTCGTGCTCATCTACGCCGTCCTGTACCTGGTCTTCTCCGGCATCGCCTACCTCTTCCTCGGACTGAGCAGCACGGTGGCCACCAAGTTCCGCTACATCGGGTCCACCATCGGCCGCGTGTCCGCGTCCAACGTCTCGGACTCGGCCTTCGAGTACATCAAGGTTTACGAGCCCGAGTGTCGGCTCCGCTTCATCTGCGAGGTGTCCGAGAAGGCGGTCCAGAAGGACCACATGTTCGCCCTCGTGCTCAGGATCGTCACCACCGTCGGCAGCTCCGGCGGGCCGTACGTCGAGGCCGTGCTCGGAGGACTTGGCGGAAGGGGCTGCCAGACGCTCTTCCCCGAGTGCGGCTATTCGCCACTCCGGAGGTCGCTTCCGTTTGTCGACTGAGTCGTGTTGTGTAATCATCATCATTAAAGGTTCACCCTGCTCCCCAGCGCTCGTGAACATGACCGTTCTATGCTACCCATGTTCCGATGGAGACAAATCAAGCAGAACCAAAAGTGCTTCGTAATGGCCTTGGTCATCTTTGTGCATTTGCTTTCACCGGCTGAAGCAATCGCGCACGCATCACGCACGCATCACGCACAATCATGCCGTAATTCTGGGCGCTTCTTTTCTGCGCGTGATTGATTTAGCACGAGCAGACGCACAAAGACTACGAGCGCCATGACGATGCAGTTTTTTCGGGGAGTGCACTGCTTCTTTCGTAGGGGTTGCGGTGACGTCAGAACGTCGCCGAGTTCATGATTGGCTTTGATTGGAAGGATTGTGGGTACCCTCAATGCAAGATGCCTTAAGGTCTACCCACTATTTTTTTTCTTTTAATCAGCCAATAAGAATTCGGCGTTCTTGCATCATCGCAACTCCTGTGCAAGAAGCAGACGAACTTGCGCTCCGCACATGATCACTCTTCCCGCCAGGTCCCAGGCGCATCGCTACGAAAACAATCGCGCTGCTCCTGACATTCCTGGAAGACACCGGCTTGGCTGACCATCTTTAATGCTTGGTGTTCCTTCCAGTTTCCAGTACGGCGGGCCCGGCTTGGCGCAAGGCCTGTGACTGTGACGGGTAACATGGCCTTCTGCCATTGAGGTGGCAGACCTGACAGTGCTGGACTAGACACCACTTAATATCTTTTGATCAGTGTGTGTCTTGTTTGAACCTTCTTCTCTTTCTTTTCTCTCTCTCTTTCCCTTTTCTTTTGCTGCTCAGACCGGGACTGGCAGGCCCCCATTAGAAGGAGTGGCCACACTGTTCCGGTCTTCCTCCCCCCCCCCCTTTTTTTTCTTGATTTTAAAATATATCTCAACGCTTACACACACACACACACTCGCGTTCCAAGGCTGGGCAACTACGAAAGAAAAAAAAAGTGCTTTCACCGCGCAGACGTGAATGAGAACGCCTGTATGAATGGCTTAAGTATAATTCTAACCATAGAGGAGGCTATGTTCTAACCTAAAGTAAACTGTAGGAGCCACATTTGGAACTCCATACGAGTGCAGACGGTTATACGTATCCCGGCCACTTCAACACCGTGCGAGTGTCCGCTTACCGCAGCAGAGACGATTGTTGACAACCAAGTAAGGTCGCTCCAGCCGGGATATACCAACGAACCTCTTCCCCTCATGCAGCTGAAATAATAATCTTTGAGTTGAGTGTCTTTCAACGCATCTCAACTACACATCAAGTCTGATTCCTAATCAAAATTGTATATTGCGTTGTTTATCTCATTATCAACAGGAAATAATAGATTTTTCAAGAATATTACGAAGAGAAATAAACGAGACCGATTAATCGATTACATAATCGATTAGAGTATGGCGATTAATCGGGTTAAAATTTTTAATCGACGCCCAGCTAGTCATTCTGATTACTGCAAGCATGGTGACGCGTCTATTTTTTTCAATATCGTCATGCCGTGCTATGGCTTTTAACTTCGCGAGCGCAATATTTGCAGTCTCGAAAGCTGGATTGAAAGTTACAATATTGAGCCCAACTCCTTGTGTTTATATTTACGATGTGTGTTGCTGTTGCGTCGCTTGGTTGGCAACCCGTAGTAATATCTAAGCGCGGTTACAGTCACAAAAAGGCGATTAGAAGTTTGTTGCAAATCTAGGAGAAATTGAACGATGCATAACTAACTAGCACAGCTGGAAACAGGCGACCAAGAGCGAAAATTGTGACTCCCTCCCGCGTGGATCCTGGCCAAAGTCTCAACCCTGCACCCCAGTGCGTCCGGTTTGACCAGAAGAAAATTGGCCAGTCCCTCGCCTAGGGGAAAAAGCGAAAAATGATGTTTTTTTTTGTTTTTTTTGCCCGATCCCCTAAAGGTTATGCTGGTGATATCCCACACTGCCTGGTGATAGCCAGGGGGAGAAATTTGGCTTAGAAGGGCGGGAGGAATCATATGTTTGTCTTTTTAGACTTAGGCTAGGTGACGCAAGTTACCGCCCGTTACAAAGGGTATACATCCATCCATCTATTTGTGGACACTCGTAACCTGGTGAAATGATAATATGTAAACGGGCCTTAATTTGGAGAGTGTTAGTTTCATACGTTGTAGTCACCTCTTTACCGGAGCTGGAAGCCTAGCACACAAGCAAAACTAATAACCGACGTAAAAAAAAAAAAAAAAAAAAAAATAAGAGCGGACGCAGTCAAGCAGCTGAGATATCAGCGTCATAGAATCCCGGAGGTAAGCTCACCGAAGAAACGCTCACCCATTTTTGTGCGGGTCAGAAGAAAAAACTCGCCGGTCGTTTGACAAACCCGGTGAAAAGCTCAGCTTGAATTCAATTTTTATTCAAGGTGGGCGTCATCAATTTACTGCTTATTTGATGAAGTGAACAATTTTTTCCCATATTCGGGAACGCTATTGAACATTTGAGAGCAGTAAAGTGCAACAAAAATATGCAAGCGCGTCCCACGCAGGCGGTACACATTTCTATGCAACACACGTGATGTGCTGAAGCCCGACCGTTTTTGCGTGACCACCGCCATGTTAATTCTCACATAGCCAAAATGGAGGAAACATAAGCTTTTCTTATTATTATTATTTTACGATATGAAGAGTTTAGCAACGAAAGCGTTCCTCCTTAAATCAATGATGAAATGTGAAGATTTGGCAATGCTGCGCCGGCTATTACATGACAGGTACATAAATATATAAGAATTACTCAAGTTTTGCCTACTACACTGCCTATATTTAACTTCTTTAATTATCGTTCTGTTTAAAGATATTTTTTTTAATTTTTGCCGTGCAACCAAAGACGGTCGTTGTATAAGCTACACTTGGAAGGAAAAGTTATATTTTGCTTAAGCGCAAAACTAGATAGAACACACGCAAATATCATCATGCTTCGGTTGAGCGAAAGCTCGGATCATAGATTTGTAGGCGAGCTTTTCTCCTGAGATCGTGAAAAGGCCGGCGAGCTTTTCTCCGCATCCGACGATCTTGCAGTGATATTTTCTCCAGTAAGCTTTTTTTCCGCCACCCGCGTCATGCCATAGCAGCGGCCGCTTTCCTAACATTTGGAAACTCTTTACACGACCTAATTTCTGTATAAGATTGGTTCAGCAACGGTAGAATACGTCCAGGAACATGACGACGAACACCACGATGGTACCCTATTGACGCTGTCTGATTGGTCTTATCAGCTCCTCCTTTCTCTTTTACGACGGAGGTGAAAGTGGTCGTTCTCGCGGCAAAGTGGCAGCGTTCGGAAAATGGTTCATGGTTTTTCATCGTTGACGAAACTCCACTCATTGCTATCCTGACCGCACAGTGAAGTTCTCTTTGGACCAGTCATCCCTCAATCTTTCTCTATACAAATTATTAGCGAGTTTTAGTAGACCGTGTTTCCCCCTCCACTAAGCCCCTCCGCTACCCGGAAATCTACAGCCAAGGCCATCGGCACGCAGGTGCAGTGGCGGTTTCTTCGTAGCGGAGGCTTAGCGGAGGGGGAAACACGGTCTACTAAAACTCCCTATTACGCGGAGAGCGGAATCAGGTGACGAAAGATGGGCCGTTGATTTGTCCGGCAAGTGTGCATCTTGCAGCACCTAGTTAAGTTAGCGGTGAACGAAGTATAGGGTCCGTTATGAGCTAATCAAGTTACGAACATTCGGGCATATAACAAACGCTATTCGCCACAGATGCGCCGAAGAACTTAGCAATTCGGTGACAGAAAATGAAAGCACATGCATTTGACGAAACGGTACTGAAAATTGGTGCTCTTTGGTCTCAGTAACGTTGGCTCGCCCTGTGGGATAGGTCATAACGGTGGACGTTCTGCGACAACACAGCGTATATAGGGTCACTTGGGGGCAAATTCGATTAGCCGACCCGTCCTAAGCAGCCGCGTCGCTGTTTCGTTTTAACAGAGAGCGAGTCCGGCGTAGGTGTCCGCATGCATCTGTACAGAGGGGGCGATATTGCATTAATAAATTTAACATGCTCCTCAACAAGAAAGAGAGAGAGGGATCTCCTATCCTTCATGCTTTCTCTGACAGTCTGTAGAGATGTTCGAAGCGTGCATGTGTCATTGCAGATAATTCTGGTATCATGCCTGCAACAAGCACCGTGTTATTTATTTATTTATTTATTTATTTTGTATGAAGTATACGAGCAGTGTATCTGGGGAGGCGAAGCTGCACCTCGTTCGAATCGATCAATTCTGATTATAATTTTCGCGATAGTTTTAACAGTTCTAGCAGCCACCGGATTAGATCGAGCTAACTGATTCATTTATCGCTTAAAGGTAACAGCTTTATTTCTTGGTGTCAGACCAAGGACGTCCTTAGGAAAGAGGCCAGAAGCGGCATTTGTAAGAACTTGAGGCAAACATATTGAGCCTCAAATGGCACGAAAACGACGTTTCTGGAGTTCAATCCAGGTCACTGCAACTAAAATAAATTAGCAGGATCTAGCTTTGTTGCTTGAGGGAGTATTCGCGCTCCCCATATCCACGCGCACTTCGTAGCCTAAAGTGTCGGGTAATTTTCAGCATCCACCAGCTCGCCCGCACACTGCTATATTTACGTAAAAATTCCTCGACATGGTTACTTTATTATTAATTTTTTTAATGCGAGTTTGGCTGCTACATCGCCAAGATTGGTTGCGTGAAGCCGGGCAAGCCCATGGAGAAACATGTTGTCTTTAGCTGCAGGAGCTGGTTTTATTTGGAATGTCGAGATTGGCTCATTCTGAGTTCACGGCACGTTTAAATCTGCCAAGTGATTAAAAGGGTGAAGCGATTGGGAACTTGATAGTAAGTGCGACAAACGTTGAAGTATAATCCCAATAGGCCTTTTTCTCTCGGCAAGGGGGCGCGTTCTAAGTCGAATGCTTACGAGCATAAAGCGGCACTGCAGTGTTCGACCGCGCA